AATTTTCCTTCTATAATAAAAACATTTCCAATTATATTGTAACTCTTAATTTACCAAATTGATAGTGTTACCAATTAAAATTCACTAAAAATTTTTAACCGAATTGTAATTGAACACGGGATTCGCCACAAAGTTTGTAATTTTTCAAATTGAACATTTCTTAATTTGTGAATCATGGGACATCTTTCAAGAAGTTTATCGAAAATTTCTGTTAAAAATTGTTTGGTACATTTTGTAACTGTTTGAAAGTTGTTCGATATTGCCTTAAAATGGTAGAGAAAACCGCGGAAAATTCTGAATTGTGTTTTAAACCAAGGAGATTAATTCTATTCATGAATAAGAAGCACATCAAATACTTGAAATTCAAAATTTAAATTTGCAAACTTTATTAAAATTTTTTTTATGAATAATTTTTCTTTTAATGCTCTTTAATTTATGTTTTTCTCTTTAAGCCTCTAAATATGTATGCAAATATGTTCAAAAATATTAATAATTTTCAACCTATTTTTATACAAAGCCAAAGTTGATTATTATTATGAAAATTATATTGTGATTTTTATACAAGCAAAAAGAAAATTCACATGACCTTTGTACAGCTAAAACTTATTTTATTTTACTTTTTTAATCGACAATTTTTTGAACAGTTTTTCTTTCTGAAAATAAGAAAATAACTATAGCAGTACGCAATTATTTTATTTTTTTTTCTAATGCCAAACTTAAAATAGCGGCGCTTATGTTATGATTTTTCTCTATATAAAGTTTCTATTTTTTCGAGATTGCTCCAATTATTACAACTAATGAAATGCATAGTAAAAGCCATAAATTTTAAATTGTAAGAAAAAAACTGGTAAACAATAAATGTAAAGAAAACAGAACGAAAAAAAATAAAAACAGTCCCACCCGAATAAATGATTTTTCTAACATGGTAATAATTTTACTAATGAGGTCAAATTATCTGAAAATGGAGCGTTAAAGCAATTAAACTTTTAAGAAAATAAAAACAGTTTTCTTATGCATTTTTTTCTTTTTGGTTTTGGTATCGTCATTTTGTTGGTATTAAAAGTTATTGTTGTTAATTGCTCTCTAAAATAAAAGTTAATGTTTTTTTTTGAATTTTATGCAATCTCTTTAGTTTTAGAGTGTTTTCTTTTTTTTTTAATATATTTTGTTTGACAAACGATAAGACTTTATTTAAGTAAATTTAAAGTTCAAGTTTTTTTAATAATTAGTGTTATGTATTTTATCCAAAAAAATAAGTTACGTTGGTAACACCTAAAAGTTTCACTTTTGTGTACAAACTTGAACTAATACATTCCGAATTTGCTTCTGAAAACTTGCTAAATCCTCTTTTAAAAATTTGTGTATTTTGAAACAAACTTTTTGAATATTTGTGGTCTTGTTCAAAATAATCATTTCGAAATGTGTTGAACTTTAATAATATTGAAACCATCAAATTTAATATGGATATTTTTTGGTTTGATTAAAGTTTGTTGAATGTTTGACATGTAAATGTTCGTTTGACTTGATGTATAATTGTTGATTTTGTTTGAAAGAAAGAAGAAAAATTGCAAATTAAAACATATCAGACAAAAAACGGGAAGCATGAGAAATATTTGATGCCCATAAGGGCGAAGACAGACATATAAGGTGTATATACAGTTTGAACATACAAGTTTTAGTTTTACGATTACTGTTTGATTGTAAAATCGTTGCGCGTCCATTTAAGCAAGTAAACCATTGCGTTAATTCAAATCTATCTGCCAACTAAAAATTACAAACTGTTTGATTGCTTATAATTGCATGCGATCATACAGTTGCATGTGTGCATCAATACATGAGAAATTCAGCATTTCCACTATTGGACCGCATAATTCACACAATTGCACTTTTAGAATAATTTTACAATGAAAATTCTAAAATTTATGTTTACCTTGATATTATTAACTTATCTTATAGTTGAATGGCAAAATTATTAATTTTTTTTTTAGTTTTTATTGCATTTTATGAAATCTACACGAGTGAATCATCCATCTTGATTTTATTTTATTTTCTCTGTTTTGTACTTGTATTGTATTTTGTTTACAAAAAAATGTCAGTTGTTGATTTTGGCGCTATGGTGTTGGTACATTTGTATATTTAATCCTCAAGGTTTCTTCTTTTTATCAATAATTTTAACAGGTAAATAATAAAATTGTGTTGGGTGTAATATGACATTTGATTACTTTTTTCATTTTTATATTAAATTATTTCCATATTTTTAGAATGTAATCAAAAAAAAAAATGTAATCATTTGAGTTATCACAATTGTTTTTTTTTAAATTTGATGATTTTTTTCTCTTATTTTTGTAAACAGAATTTTTTTTTAAATATTATTTTGAGTGATTATTTATTCTTTATTTAATTCTTTTTTTCTCTTGTTTGCTTTGCCAATACTAGCCTTTTGTTTTATTCAAATTTCGTTTGTACATCAATTATATGTTTGCACATGACGTTAGCACAATACATGTTGTAAAAGCGTAATTGTTTTGTATGATCAATACCAATGGCACAGCACATCCTATTCAAAGAAGCATATGTATAGTATGTTTGAGTAACACCAATACATCAGTAAAATTGTGTACGTATATTTAAACATTATTCAATTATGACAGGTTGTAAATAAATCATCAACAGGTGCAAAATATAATTTACTAAAATTTCTGTAAAAATAATTGTGTGGGAATATTTGATTAATCCCTTAAGTTGCGTCATTATTAATATTTTTCTACCTCCGTATACTTATTGACATACTGTGAAATTTTTAATCATTAAAGAGTACATAAGGGTACACAAAAAATTTGAAAATCCATGAATCTGTTTCAAATATTTCTAGATTTAAAATGAACCGAACTACCTAAACAAAATATTGAAATCTTCAAATTTTAAGGAAATTTTCTGAAAATAATAATTGACATTTTAAATACCTATGGATATACCTCCTCTTTTTTTTGTTAAGGATAATAACAAAATTCTTTATAATTCTTTTCATTCATTATATCCGGCATAATCTGTAACAATAAATATGAAAAACAAAGGCTAAAATAAATTCCTATACTTTTTCTTTTGTTCTACGCTCAGACAAGAATTCTTAAAGGATCTGAATTGAAAGAAAAAAGGAAAAATATTGCGGTTGGGGTACTAAACATCGAATGAATGATGATGGATGAATCACGCAACGGAATGTGCGAATAAAAAAATAATAATAAATTGCTTTTGTAAGAAAAAAAATCTTTACATTTTTTTTCATATTTTTTTTTTTTAAAGTTGCATTCTTTTAAAAAAACTTCCATAATACAATTAAAAGAACTCTGAAAAAGAAAGGATCATACCGAAATTTTATATTATTTATCCACAATGCAGGGATTGCATTAAATTCAAAAGAAATATTTGAGATTTTATACTAAGAATTCGGATAAATGTTGTAAAAGATAAACACACTCTATTTGAGTTGAGTTAGTGTTAAAAACACTAAAAGAGAATTTTATTTAATTATGTGTAAAGAATACATTCTAGAGTTGTCTTCCTCTTAACCCTAGAATGTTATACCCCAGAATGCTGATATTTTTCTGTTTGCCTTTTAATTACTTTTAATTATGTACATTTGTATTAAGTAAGTTAAATACTCTTCAAAATTAAAGGTTAATTTTCGATTTAATATAACAGAAATATTGGAAATTTGATTAAATTTTTGAGATCGAATGATCATCAATCGTCAATATTTGAAAAATTATTATTCCGAGAAAGCTGTATGTAGCTTAAAATACATACATATGTATGTACGTAAATATAAGCTCAATGTTGCAGTTGTAAATTATTACTGATTTATTTGTTGAATCAGCTGATCAGCATTGCCTTTGTATCTCAATCAAAATGTAGTGTAAAATCAGATAAAACGTAACTGTGATCATATTTGACACTTTTACACTGAAATGTTTTTTTTACTTTTATTTACATATACAATGTATATATATATAATATTATATATGTAACACGTCTGTCATATATCTACAAACGTCCATATTTGTTATTTGATATTTGATTTAAAATATTACTCTTTGTTTATTTACTTGAAAAATAAATATCATTTATTTTGTCTACAATAAAGTGAGTACATGTGTATATATATCATATGTTCGATATTACATATAAATACATTCATATATGAACGGGTGTATGTATATTATGAAAATAAGAAAATTATTAAACAAACATGTCGCTGGAAATGCTATGACAAAATGTAAACAAGTCATGTGAATCTAATAACCTTGGAATGTTGCTAAACTTTCATGTTTCTATTTATATTATTATGAGATTTAAACGTTACAGCTACAATATAGAAAATGTATAGAATATAAAATGTGATATAAGTTCAGTTAGGTGTTCATTATGGATTTGTATATGTTTTAAAAGGTGTAATTTTTAGAATACATAAATGCAATGCAGACAGGTTACAGGCAGAGTAATTAATCTTTATTAAATCACATAAGTATTATTTATTTAATGAAAATTGTATTATTGTCTTTTCATCACGATAAAGAATTCTTTTTAGAATGAATATAAAGGAGACAATTTAAAAAAGAAATCTTAATTTAAAGATATCTTGATAAAAGATAAAAATTGAAGTCAACAATAACAAAGTACACACTTTCTTAAACCTCGTATGTAAAAAATTATAATATTACGTTTTCTATACGTAATAAGCATTACAAAAAAAAATTGTAATAAATTTTAAAACAATTTTTGTTGACAGAGGTTAAAAATTTCAAAATAAATTAAACCCTAATCTTACTTATGTAGTAGATTTACTACCTAAGCTAGTTTATTTTATTAAGCCGAAAAATATGCAAAATTTTCAAAACACAAGACTTAATTACAAAATAATAAGACTTAACACTTATCAAAAATTTAAAAAAATAAATAAATAATTAATTGAAATTTTTGTTCATTTAAAAAATATGAAGAAAATGTCAAAAATAAACTAAAATGGAACTGTTCTATATAGAAGACTGGCTTCAAATGCCAGTAAAAGGTCTTAATCCAAATACTTGTTAGTTAAAATCCAAATCCAAATAAAAGAACCAAAGTGTTAATATTTAAAAAAACCTACATACTTACATAAATAATTTTTTAAAATAATTAAAAAATAATTTGACAAGAGAGGAAAAAAATTCTTGAGAAACCAAAAAAATTGTCATTTTAATAAATTACTTAAATAAGAGCTATTAAAAATGTTCGATATACCACCAAAATGTCCAGCTTTAGCTGATAAATTAACTGGTATATTTGGTTGGCGTGCCACATATCGTGTTTCACAGAAACACAAAGGTCTTCAGCATACATATTTGCAGAAGTCATACTCAATGACACTGCCTTCTAAAGGATCTAATGGATCGTTTTGTAAGGTAAAATTTAAAGTGTAAAATTCATTATTTCCCGGTATAAAATTTGATGCAAAATTGTATTCCGCAATTATTTAAATCTGAATATTTCTGTATAAAATTATTAATTATCTCTTTTTTTTTTTGTATTTTTTAATAGGAGCCTGATTCATGGGTAGCAGTACATCATTTACAAACACAGTCTGGTATATTAGATCCAGATGACTGCATTGGTGATGTAGCAGATGATAGAGAACAAATTCTTGCAAGTTTTGAAGATTCTGGGCCAGACCCAGGAGTTCAGCAAGGTGGAGGAGATGGTGCCAGTGGAAGTTCGTCTGTCGGAACCGGTAGTCCAGATATATTTAGAGATCCAACAAATCAGGATGCAGCGACACGAACAAATGCATCTAGTGCATCTACACCTCATATTGAGGTAACAAGCACTACATCCAATGGATCACATACAGGACTTGGTCTACAAGTTCGTCGCAGTAGTGATCCAAGCCTAATACAAACTCTTCAAACAGCTGATAATGTTACAAATAAGAGATGGTCAGCTGCAGCGCCCGCTTGTGGTTCGGAATCAGCTGAGCGAATATTAGATAAAGTAGGTTATTTATCACCACAATGGGAAGAAGAAGATGATGCTCCTCACAGTTATACTAGTATGCATAATAGTTTAACAACACCGGCATTTGCTCGTTCTGGGCGGTTATCCATGCAGTTTTTAGGTGATGGTTCTGGTTATAAATGGATGGAAGCAGCGGAGAAATTACAACATAATCATTTACCTCACCATAATCACCACAATCATCATAATCATCACACAAGTCCATATTCTTCATATAATGCACATAATCAGCAAATATTTACTTCCAAATCATTACCTAGAGAGAGTAGCAAGCGAAAAGAACCCCTAGGGCAAGCATATGAATCTATTCGCGAAGGTGAAATGCTTTTAATTACAAATGAATATGGTGGAAAATTAGGTTTGACTGCCATTCCTGATAGAGAATTTGGTGGTTTATTGGTGCAATTTGTCGAACCCGGAAGCAGAGCAGAACAGGGACGTTTACGGAAAGGTGATAGAATTTTAGAAATTAATGGCAATAAACTAGTCGGTTTAGCTGAAGATAAAGTTCAAGAATATTTACGGAAAAGTTTAACGGCAAGTGAACTTAGAGTGCGAGTTATTAGAGCAAATAAACTATGTGGCCATAGCAGAAAAGACTCAAAAGTTTCAGAAATGGTAGAGGTGGGTGAAAAATCAGTTGGTACAAAAGTAGCGACTGTTTCACCCACGAAAAAAATTCCAGGAGCGCAAGTTGGTACTTCATTACAAGTTGCAAATACTCGAAAATTAGGGAAAAAAATTGAAATAGTGTTAAAGAAAGGCCCGCAAGGGCTTGGTTTTAGTTTAACAGCACGCGATAACCCTGCTGGCGGACATTGTCCTATATATATTAAGACGATACTTCCAAGGGGAGCTGCAATTGAAGATGGAAGACTAAAGCCAGGTGATAGACTATTAGAAGTTGATGGTCTTCAAATGGATGGAAAATCTCAAGCTGATGCAGTAGCTTTATTTAGAGCAATTCAACCAGGTTCAACAGTCAAAATAATAGTTTCTAGACAGCAAGAATTAGCAGATGCAGAAGAAAAAGAAATTGTAAGTAGTAAATTAGTTCAATTAAGGTTTAATAAAAATTTACTTTCGTTTTAAAAAGATGTTGACAAATGAAGAAATTGATAACAAGAATAGCTCTCCCCCAAAACCACCAGCTCCAGTATTTCCAAATAATCACTCAAATTCAGAAAGACAAATGGCGTCTCAAGCTAATGCTAATAATTCTAAAAACGACACGATAATTGGTTTCAATATAAGCAACGATCAACATTTTATTGACGGTGGAAACGAATCTGCAGCGTCTACCGTAAGTTTTTTTTATTTTTATCGTTTGTACATTTCTGATATAACTAAACAAATAATTTTCGTTTTAACTATTACAGGATAGCATACAACCAGGAAGTGCATGGCGTCATCGGGAAGTCTTAACTCTTCACATACCAGTACACGATACAGAAAAAGCAGGGTTGGGTGTTAGTGTTAAAGGCAAAACTACTTCCGCAAATAGCTCAAGTGGCAGTAATAAATCAATGAAGCATGATGGTGACCTAGGAATTTTCGTGAAAAATGTGATTCATGGCGGGGCAGCTTCTCGTGATGGGAGATTGCGTATGAATGATCAACTTTTAAGTGTTAATGGCGTCTCATTGCTGGGTCAGAATAATGCTGAAGCTATGGAGACATTACGAAGAGCTATGCTTCATATACCCGCTAAACACCCAGGAGTAATAACCTTGACTGTTGCAAGAAAAATTGCTAGATCTCAAAGTTCTGGGGACATTATTGAAAGAGAGAGTTTGCAAGAATCCAGGGAGACCCTTGATAGTTCTAACAATAGCGAAAATTCAGGTGCCACTGTTATTTATTTGAGTCCAGACAAAAAGGAAAAACAAGATAGTGATAAGTAAGTAGTTGGAAAAAAATAATTTCGAATAAGATAATTTTTCTATGCAAATACAATTGCCTTAGATTAAACAACCCTTTGTTGGAGCGCTTATCAAGTGGAATCTATTCTTCAACTTCAAAACAACGTCCTTCTACATTGTATACCCATGGTCTACGTAATGACAGTTACTTTATGGCTACAAATGACTCATGGACTCCAATGAAAGCAAGGAACGATTCAGTATTTATGGAGGATGAACCAGAGCCTCCACTAACTCCGTAAGTTTTTGTAGTGTTTCTAGTTGTATTTTGTTTTGTTTTTTGTACATAAATAAGTGAAAGTGTCTCTTCTAAATAATTTTTTTATAAACAGTCTTTTATCCCAATTGAACGATTCTGTATCTAACCAAAATTCTAGTAATCCATGTGATGCCACATATTCATCTCAACTTAGTTTAGACACCAATACTTCAGCAGAAGCATTTAGTAGAGATGCAATAGGGCGTAGATCTATTTCTGAGAAACATCATGCCGCTTTGGATGCTAGAGAAACTGGTACTTATCAAAGAAATAAAAAATTAAGAGAAGAAAGAGAGCGAGAGAGACGACTACAGCTAACGAAATCAGCTTATATTAGTGGTTCAATTGAATCATTAGCAAAAATGGCAAACGAATTGAAGAATCGCAATGGACAATCCGATTTAACTGCAGAGGCTTTGGACAAAATTGGTGAACTAGGACCATCTTTAGGTTTGAAAAAATCTTCCAGTTTAGAATCATTACAAACGATGGTACAAGAAATTCAAATGTCTGAAGATATTAGAACTGGACCTAGTGCATTAAAAGCTCCAAGGGGCAGAGGTAGGGAAGATAGTTTAAGAGCGGCTGTAGTGAGTGCGCCAGACAAAAACAGTAAGTTTTATTAACGGCTCTTGAACTAATAATATTAAAATAATTGACAAAATATCATTTTTTTTGTTCCTATTGTAGAACCTAGAAAGCATTGGCTTCTTGAAGATGGTGGTGATTCTGAGGGTGGATTTTCACATCGTAACGGACCTTTCCAAAGTTCTCTGAATGATGGAAAAAGTAAAAGCAGAGCGAAAAAACCGAGCATATTACGTGGTATTGGTCATATGTTTCGATTTGGAAAACACCGTAAGGATGGTGTAATGCCAGTTGAAGCAAACAATGAGTTTACTTCTGGTTTACCACCGCAACTTCCTTCAGCTCATAAATTACATCAACAACAGCAACAACAGCATCAGTTACACCATAATCAGCAACACCACCAACATTTAAAAAACACAGAACATCAACAACATTCGAATAATCAACATCAAAGAATGAATGGACATCATGTACATAATTCTGATAATAGACCAAAGGACGGACCACCGATTTACCAACCACCACCACCGCCTAACGGTATTCATCAACCTGAAATTTTTACTCATCGTTATCAACATTATGTTAATTTTGAAGAATTACAACATCAGATAAGGTAGGAATTGCATGTGGTTTCCCGTGTGTGTTCATCATGATTTATAATATGTGTTTTTTTTTTCATTTTTTTTTTCTTTCATCTCTTTATTGCTTCACCAATACATATTCGAAACGTTAATTATACAGTTATGTTTGAAATGTCAAACTGTATACGAAACAAAAAGCATTATTTCCTTTTTCATTTACGTGTGTCTCATTTTTGATTTGTGTTTTGAAAAAAAATTTTTTTTTTTTGCTAAAAATTATTTTTTGTTCCCTATTTCTATCTCTTTCTTTTTATATGAACGCGTCAAATTTTTTGTTTTGATGTGTATGATTATAGCGAAGAACCAAACGATGATGATGTTTTATCAGAATCAATATTAGAAAGTATGAGGCGTCAAGTTATGATACAGCGAAATAAAGTTGAATTAGAAAGGTAAATACACAAATTACACGGTTTTTTAAAACTGTTTTTCATATACTTGTTATTTTGTATGTTTTCTATTGTGAAACTAATTAATTTTTATGCGAAATTTTTGAATTTTTTTTTTTATTAGATTTGAGAAATGTTTTAATGTAGATAGAAGAAAAATTAGAAGAAAACCTAAATTTTATCGAAAATGCGCCAAAATTTTGGAAACGAACTGAAGTATTGACATTTTAGTATAATTGTAGATGAGTAATTATTTATAAATACTTGAGTAAATTAATTTCTGGAGATTTATGCAACTGAAAAAAATATTAAATATTTTTCTCACTAAATTTAATAACAGATTAGTTACGAATTTTTTTTCTTAAGAATTGAGAATTTCCATTATTTCCATTACCCCCTCAAATTGTTATTTAATTTAAAAAAAATTTACCCTACAAATTTTTATAAACTTTTGTAAGTTATTGTGTAATAAAATATTTTACCAAAAATTTTACAAATTCACCTTGTTAATTAATTTAAATAAAATTAAAAAAAGTTTGAATGCCAAAATCTTGTTATTAATTTTTTAATTTGTAATATGAACCACGATTTTGTTTTATGATGTTTATGATTTTCATATGATTTACATGAGGAAGTATGCCAAACCCTTTTTACCCAAAAGGGTTCTATTAATTAAGTATACAGAAAACTGCACAAATAAATTATAAAAAATTTGCAAAATAAAGTTGCCTTTTTTTTTTTTTTTGGGATTTTAATATTAAAAATGAGCCTTTACCAACTGAGCTTTTTGTGAATATAAATTACTCTTGAACATTTGTGACTTTAAATAATCTTTTGATTAATAAATATTATGTCAGATAAATTATAACGATTATTTGCACAACACTTTTTAGTTTAGAATTAAAATTATTTAACAATTAATTCTAATTAATGTTTTATAAAGGATATATAAAAAAAATAAGTTTAAAAATATTGGCTTTGGTTTTAATTTTATTAAAAACTCACAAAACAAAATCACACTACACAGAACACAGGGTGTTTGAACCTCTTTATATTTTCGGTGAGAGCCAAATAATTATTGAAACAAAATTTGTAGTAATTTTAAAAATATTGGTGAAACAACAAAATATTGAATTAACCGAATTGGTGATAAACCAAAAATTCAACTTATATTCAAAAAAATTAAAGTAGGCATTATAAATTTTGTTTTTTTTTTTATGAAATAATTTAAAATCATAGTATGTTTTTAACACAATTTATTATTTTCATTAATTAATTATTTATTTAAATTGGCACACTTACACTTTTAGCACAATTATTTAAAATTTTAATTCACCCTACATATTATTTTAAAAAATATGATAAAAAGTAATTGTTTATCAGGACATAAGTAAAATATTATACATAAGTATGTACATATAATTTTGTATAAATAATTTATAGAAAACATTTTATTCAGGTATAAACTATGGTATATAAGAGTTAATGTAAATATTTTTAATTTTTATAAATGTTAATTGTTATACAATATGTTTTTGCGATATAAATGAATGTATGATATGCGGGCATGATTTTTTTGTTATAAAAATATAAAACTGTTATAACATTATACGGCGCTTAATATTTGAATGATTAAAACAAAAAATAATTATTCAGTGTAATAAGGCAAGGATCTGAATAAAGGAAGCTAAAATTTTAATGGGATCAGGCATATTATATTCAGGTATATTTTTATTTAATATATAGTTGTTGTATTTTATGTTATTTAAATGCACTAACAAAATACAATAAAATGCACTTCTGATAATATTGTTTTATCGTTTTAATAAATTTATGTAAGTTGTGTTCAATTTAAAATGTTATTTATCGTCAAATTTACTTTAAAAAATTTTTCTATTAAATGAAATTCAAAAATTTCTGGGAATTAATTAAATGGTAACCTTAACTTTGACTTCTAAATACTAAAACTCTGATTTCATTTATTTTTTTTCAATGTTTTTTATGTCTTGTAATTGCAAAATTTTTTGTTTTGTGCAATATTAATATTTGTTTGTGTCACATTTAATGTTTTTCCGACTAATAGGATAGTGAAATACATATTTAGAAATTATTGCAGGATTTTTACTATATTTTGTTTACGACTCCTTTTTGAGTAAACCTGAAGAGCTTAAATTGAAATTTTCAAATTTTGTATTTGAAGAAATTTTAATGCTTCAAATTAAAAAATTAATTTAAGTATTGTTAGAAATCATGTTGAAATTGTTAAAATTTACTCTGGACTTTAATTTAAATTAAGAAATTTAATAAAAAGCCCAATTATTTTATACAAAGGTTCAATACTTCAGTTTGCATTCGATTTTACTCAATCAAAAAAAAAAATAAAATAAAATTATGTGAAAAATATTTATTTATTTTTGTTTTATCAATTTTTTTTTTCATTGAATTTAAATCTTTTTTTTTTTATCATTTTAGCAATGCAGTAGAATTTTTGACTTATTTTCAATAGTATATTCAAAATTGAATTTTGACAAGAATAAAATTTTTTAAATTAAAACTTGCGTTGTATATTGCCATCTATTCTATGCTTATAATTTTGTGATTTTATTTTTAAAAAAAAATATATTTTTGGTATTTAATTTATTTATTTTTTTTTTTGTATAAATAATCTTTGTAAAAATTTATACATTGTGAAACTAACAACAAACTGTCCAAATATGTCTGGCATTTTACATTTTTACAATATTATTCGATAAATTTACAATACTAGTCTAGCTACTTATAAATAATTAAATTTTACAGACGTTTGTTGTGTGTTTATTTTTTATGTTTAATTTAATTTTGAATTTTACATTTTGTGATTTTGTATTTTGTTATGTAGATTTTTTTTGTAGTACTTATGTATATATATATTCACTTTTTAGACAAACTTATTTAATTACATATTATGTGTTAAAATTATTGTAAATAAATTATACAGAATAATAAAGATGTTTTCTTTCCCACAAAATTTCTAAAATTTATCTGAACAAAAATTCATTGTTGTATTTCGTTAAGTTAATGAATAATGCAATTAAATTTTTCTGTAAAATTCTGGGAGAAAATCAATATTTTCGGAATATTAGATGAAAAATTTGAAAAAAAAAAGGTCAAAATTCATAAGGAGAAAGCAACTTAATATTTTAATTGTATAATTCTTTTGAAAAATGAATGTTAAAGGTAAAAAAAAATAAAATAAAATTTTTTTAGGAATCATAATGCTTATATATAGATTTTAAGATTATTTTGGAATATTTTCTCTCTATAGAACTCCCTTTCGAAAAAATGTGTATGTGTGTTGAAAACGATATTAAGATGAAAGAAAAACTAACAATACATTTTAAAAATACTAATAAACGAATAACAAACACAAAATTTACTCATTCTATCAAGTTTTCGACTGAATTGAGGATATTTTAAATAATACAACATGCTATTACAAAATATCGGATGAATTGCTTAGGCCAAGCATCAATTATGCAAATTATGAAAAAATATTGCGCCAAAACAATCATAATTTGGACACTTAAAAGGCGCCTATCGGATTGAGTAGCAAAATAAAATAATAGCTGTTGTAAAAATTTAAAATTTTCCAATTGTTTAAATTAAAAATTTTATGTTTAATTTTTTTAAAATTTTAATTTTTTGTAATTTAAATAAATTATTTTCATTCTGAATTTAATTACCACTGTCTTTATGAATTTTTATAAAACACAGTGCAGTAATATTTTACTTTTTTAATTCAAATTTGATTTATTGTTTTTAATCAATATAGTTTTTAATTAATAATTCTCATAATTTTTTACATAAGATTTCTTTACAACGTTATCCACTGGGGACGAACTCTTAAAAAATCGCGATATTTCATATACATTATACATGTGTGCACATAATATGTGTGCATTTTCAAGCTTGTTATTTTTTTTTAATTTGATTCTATCGTGAAAATGCTTTTTAAAAATTTATAGATATTTTTAATTTTGTTTTCCAAATTTGATATTGTTTCTTTTTCATTTTCTTTTATCCCTTGCGTACTTTTTGATTTCAATATCTAGAAAAGCTTGTTTTAAAATTAAATATTTGATTTAATTTTTTTTTTGAAATTTTAATTTTATTTATTACATTTTTTATTAGTTTTTATTTTTTCTTGAATTTATTCAATTTGCCCTTGAATATATTTTATAAACAGACATGTTTTTTTTATTTTATGTGTTTTTTTCTTGTTTCTCATTTCTAGTCGACGCCATCAACACTATCATTCACAACGAAGTGCACGTAGTCAAGATATTAATTTTTCACCAACAAAACATCAACATCTTCAACAACAGCAACAAACACAACTTCATAATTATCCTCAAATACAAGCACAAATTGGTGGCCGTCCAATATCTAGTTATTATGAATATGAAACTGTTCAGCATAATGTTACACCATTATCAGGTAGTGGTCGTTCTGGAAAATTTACTAGTCCCCCACAACGTTCATCTCCATCAAAAAATTGGAAATCATCAACATTAAATGGTTTTCAACAAGGTAATTTAAATGGAAGCGGTCGTAGTAGAGGACCATTTATAACACATGTTCAAATACGAGATCAAAGCCAAATTATTACTACAAATGGTAATTCAATATCAACTGGTCAAAATAATTCAAATCAAAATTTACGAGATAGAGAACCATTATATAATATGAAACCGACACCACAACCTCATGCATCTAAAGTATGACTATAATAGAATAACTTTAATGTATTTATTTAAAGTTATAATAATATAAAATCGAAAATAAAAATGAAAATTTAGCTGGCCTAATAAAATAACGATATACGTTAAATTTAAAACAATAAAATATGAAAAATTCATCAAGAAGTAAATTATATTTTAATATCGTAAATATTAAGCTTTAAGTATGATTATTAGTTAAATTACGAACATATTATTTTTAATTAAGTTCATTATTCGGTATTTTTTCAAATTAATCGCTTTTTTTTTTGTATATACTACTATTCAATTGTTTAGCTGCCATATTTTGAATTTCAATAAATTCAATCAAATACAACCATTCCAATTATTTTTAAATATAATGTTCGATATTCTGGTACTAAATTTATTGAAATTTTTTTTTTTCATTTTCCTCATCTTCTTATTCAAGTATTGCGAACATATTTTTTAAAATCATTACTGTGATTTTCAAAAGGTGGTTTAATTTGCCGGAAATTAAAAATTATATTAAATAAAATGAAAACTTATTAATTATATTCCATATTAAAGAATAAATTTTTAATAAAACTCATATTATATGTAATTTATTTAAAATTATAAATAAAGTTTCGAAAAAAGAATAACGATAGTATATAAAATAATTTTTATTTGTAAATGCAAAATAAAAATAAAAATAAATTAATTAATTTAATATTTTTTTAATTTTTTGTAATTAAAAAATTGTAAATTAATATTTCATATACATAATTAGAAAGTTACATAGATATTATGTTCTATGATGATAAAGATTAACAAAAAAAGAATAAAAAAATTGCTCGAATAAGTAATAATAAGAAGTTTGTGCGCTAATTTACGAAGAGTTTAAAAAATAACTAATCATCTAAGATCAACAATCTCTAAAATTCTATAACAACCACTTTAATTTCAAATATGCTAACAATTCAGTAATTCCATAGTTAAAAATTAACTTTGTCATCACAATATTACTAGTTGTATAAGAATAATATTTAATTAAAATTTTTAACATTATTATAATTTAAAGTATTAATGTATATATAATAAAAATTTAACTTTAAAATAAAATTCTAAAAAATTTCTAAAAATTCTAAAAAAATTTAAAATATTTTCAGTATTTTACATTATTCACATCCGATCCATTTCGAATATTTTTCTCTTATGAACTTTAAAAAATTCAAAAATTCTGCTTTCTAACTATCAAATTAGCGTATCGAGCTGCGTTTATATAATTTATGTTGTACAATGTTAAAATATAATTCAAGTATATACTTCAAATATTTTATTTTGTTTTTTGTAAATCGAACATTTTTAATAAAAATATTTTTTTTTTGTATTCAATAAATTATTATCTAGTGTAATTAAAATGTTAAACAAAATATAGTTATACTTTTAAAACTAAGATGTTTAACTTAAATTATTTTCATCATATTAATTATTAAATTCATTTTCATTAATAACAAAGCAAAATAAAAAAGTAAATTAAAATAAAGAAAGAAAATTTTTGTTTTATCATCACCAACTATCATAAATATTATTTAAATTATATTTAAGTTTTGAATTTGTAAAATATTTAAAATATTTTGTACTTAATTATGTTATCATAAAAATTAATATCATATAATTAATTAAAAAATATTTTGTTAAATTAAAAAATATAAAATATTTGTCTTTAATTAAATAAAAGAAAGTTATATATAAGAAGTTGTATATAAAATTTTATTATTAATTTTAGAAATAAAAATTTATAATTAATTATACAAAAAAGTGAAAATTATGTTGGTTATAAAAAAAGTTAAAGAAAAAAGGAAATACATATAAAATTAAACGAAATAATAATTATAATTAATAAAAAATTATATAATATTAATATGCTAAATTCATATATTTTAGATATTAGTTATTGCAAACTAAGAGAATATTAAGTGTTAAAAAAAAACTCTAATATAAAATTAAAGAAAATTAAGAATAAAATTAAGATATTTAAATGCAAGTATTAAAAAGCAAAATAGTTTTTTTTTTCAATTATTAATTATAAATCAAAAGGTTTATTCAATAATTTATGTTGTAATTTTTGCCGTTTTTGTAGATTAAGAATACCCTCACATTGCATGGAATTATTAGTATGTGTAGTGCGAAAATTTTAGAGTCACTATATTCAGTGCAGCATTAATTGCAGATGGGATTGAGACTATTCCAGTCCAATATTAGAAAAATTATTGTTAAAACATATTAATATTTAATATACTAAAGAACTTTTTGTATACATTATGTTTTATATATATATGTTATTGACATGGAAAAACTCGCTATTGAAATAAATGGTCGTACCTGTAGGAACAATATAAAACAGAAGATACTTAATATAATTTTTTGCATAAATTTTAAAATTATGAAAGATCGTTAAAATCGCCAATTAGTAATGTACTTTTTGTGTTCTTAATAATAATTTCATAAGTATAATTTAAAATTATGATGAGATTAATGACTTTGCTATTATAAATTTTAAAATTTTTATAGTACTTATCTACCTAATTTTTTTAAATAATGATGTGAACCTTTATATTTTTCAAAATTTATGCCTTTTTTTTTGTTTTTTTAAAAAAGTTTATTATCACTTTATAAAAACATGATGTTCAACATAATAAATTTTAATGATTAAATGATTTTTCATGAGTTTACAGAATTTTCAAAATAACTTATTTAAAAAAAAAAAAGTTTTATTTTTTCAACAAAGTTTTGGTTCTTAATTAAAATATTAGAACATATCCTTAGATTCATAAGGAAAATTCATTGTTATCCTTAAATTTTTGTGTTTACTTTATTTTTTTATTATAGAATACTACAATAAATTTTATATATTTATGAGTAAAACGATAAAAATTATGATTATGTAGATGCTTGAAACTTTTTCATTTTAAATTTAAATTGTTGAATAATAACACTAATTGTAAATTAGTAGGAGATCACTTTTTAATTATTTTAAGCTATTTAAGATGTAATTGACTATAAATTTTTTATAAAATTTAATTTTATATGGCATCTTGAATAGAATTTTTAAATATATATATATATATATACTTATATTACATACAAAAGTGTAGGATATTATGAAGAATTTGTGCTATGTAAAGACACCAATTTTCGAAAGCGCTTCAAATTTGATGTAAAATATTTTTAAAAAGGATTATATTCTTACCAAATTTTATTATAGTATTAGATTTAGTATTAAAGCAGCCCGAAAAGTTATTATTAGGGAGTAGTTATATTCCTTTCAAATCCGTGTTTAAGAATAAAAATTTATACATATTGGTACATACAAATAGAACTATTACCGGATCCACAATTAAATACTTTTAATTAACCAATTAATAACAATGAAGTACATTTTATTAATTTAAAACGTAATGGAATAAAAAAGTGGGTAGCTTAAAATCTAATGAAAATTAAAATTTACTTAAAAAATTTACATAATAAAAATTTTGCCTCATATATCCGATAATTTAAAAATCAAATATTTCTTACTCAAAAAAATTTATTAACATAGATAAACTAAAATAAGTATGAAAAAGTTTTTACTCTTTTTCCTATTTCTATTCTGAAAATTTATTAATTACCTTTTAAAAATTACAGAATATAAACAGAATAAATACAAAATATTCTCTATTTTAATTTTATTTTGATATCCTTGAAAATAAACAGATTCAAAGAAATCTCTAGTATTACCAAAAGATTTTAATTTTATAAAACAAAAAAAAAACATCCAAAACTAGAAAGAAAAAACAAGGAAAACAAATTCTATGCTTAGTTGTTCTACAAATTTAATATCATTAATTATTTTAAAGATTAAATTTTTTTGATAAAAAAATTTTACACCCTGAAAATTCTTCGCGAAAAAAAAATCTAAAAATATTTAATTACCATCCTTACAGGATATTAAGTAAAAGGAGAAGAAGGGTAGTTTGAATGAACAAAAAAAAATTTTTTTACAAAATGATGAAAAATTTATTTTTTTTTTGTATTTATTTAAGGATTCTGTTTACGTATAAAATATAAGCGTGGAAATATTTGTTTCTTAAAAAAAATTACTGCTTGTTATATTTTTACTTCCTTTTTGCTTATTAATTTGCGCCTTTACGTTCTCTTTTCTTGATGTTCTCTTAATTTTAAGAAAAGAAACCTAAAAAAGGATTTAAGGAAAAAACAAAAAGTATAAAAATGAAACTTTTTGTATACCTTATGACTTTGAGAAATTTAAAACCAAAAGAAAAAAAAATATTGTAAAAAATCATGATTTCCAGAAAAAAAAAGAAATTAATTGTATAGAAAACGATTTTTACCTATATACAATGAATTATAATAATGATGAAAACGTGGTATTCAAAATTGTTTTTATTTTGTTTTTTCCTGGTTATGGGTCTTCTTAAATTGGGTTGATATAGGTCAAGGATATTATTATGAAAATTAGGAATTATTGTTTTCATTTTGTTTTTCTTTTAAATAATTCTATAATTTTATGAAAATTAGCAAATTTTCAAATTAGTTAATATTTATTTACAATTAGAAATTTTTGAAATTAACTTAAAACTTTTTTTTGTTTTGGTTAGAATCCAAAAGGAGGGTTCATCTTATATTTTCTAATAAATTAATTTTTTTCCTTTTAAAGTTAAAATATAAAATGATTTCTAAGAATATTTATTTAATATTTTTATATAACTTTAAGGATATAATATTTAAAATAAGATAAGTAGTTATAGAGAAAATTGTTTATTTAAGTGTTAAATCTGGGTTAATTCACAGAAGGGTAAAATTAAATACTTTAATATTCTGCATAATTTCATAAATAATTTAATAAAATAGTTGTAGTTTTAGGAATTACAAATGTTTTTTTACATGCATATGTATGTATAAATAAATTTAAGTAAATATAAATTCTTTTTAGAAGAAAATTGTAATTAATATAAATTTTTTGTTTTTGTTTAGCTCTAGGGATAATCAACAGAAACACATCACAAGTCAAAACGTTATTTGAATGTAGAATTGATGTTATTCATGAAATGTTATGAAAGAGAAATACTTGGAAGTTTTATTAAAGTTTTGGGGTTTTATCTTATTTTGTCTTATTTTACTTTATTTTTATTCCGCATTCTTAACACTACAGGACAATTATTTAGGAATATTGTAATATTTTATGTAGAAGATAAAACTATGATCAAAAATATATTTGTGTTAAAATAGATTAGTGAATTTGCTCGTATGTTGCCGATATTTCAAGGTACATAACTTAAGTTCTTAGTTTTCAGATTTACACTTACATGAATTTCTCAAAATATCTTCAACTGCATCGCGTATTGTTACTCGAAGAGTATTCCTACTTTAAGAAGCCTTCTATTGTTCCTTTGCTCTCCAATAAGAAATGTTATACTACTTATTAATATCCTTAAATATTAAGTTTATTATTTATAATTACAAAGAATAATTGATATTATTGTAAATATGTCTATTAATCGTCTATTAATTCAGAAAATCTACTTAGCGATTTTGTAACAGAAACTTAAAATGAACAAAATTTAGTCCCTTAAGATGAGGCTTTAATTTTTCGGTTCATTATCGTGGAATTACTAAGACAATGTCGAATTTTTTAAATTGCGTTGTTTTTAAAATTTAAAATTGTTTTATGTGTTATAACATTTTTGCGCATTCTAGAGTCGAATCTCAGAATAACTTTTCTAAATTATTCTTTATATTATGAATTAACAGATTCAATGACAAATATTTTATACAATACGTTCATTAATAAAAAAAACTGAAACAAGAACAACTGTTCCAAATTTAAAAATATTATTAATAATTAGAATAAAAGCGATTTATCTTATTCGTGTAGGGTGGATATGAAATATGAAAAATTACTTTTATTTAAGGAAAGGATAAAACAAAAAAAAAACAAAACAAAAACCTTATAATAATCTTTTGTATTTAATCTTTTTAATCAGAGTGTGTGAACATCATATTATTAAATTAATTCCATCTCACGAAAATTTATTTACATTATTTTTATTAATATTCTGAAAATTATTTGACGAATGTTTTATTAGTGATGAAATGATTCCAAAACAAAACTCATAATAAGTTTTTAAACCAGTTAGTTTTCATTTCCTTTCTACCAAATATAATACTA